AAGCAGCAGCTGCTGCTGCCAGAGCAGAGAGTGTGGGACCTGACCCCTGCCAGGTGGCAATCAGAGCACAGCCCATTGGGGGGGGGGTGGGCAGAGAAGGAAGGGGGATGCAGGCTGCCTGCTGCAGCCTTGGGGCTCCCTCCCCTGCTGTCCTCCTCCTTGGGGCTCCATGGCCCAGCAGGCAGGACCTGGAGCAAGAGAAAGTGCCATGCTGCCATGGCCACCAACCTGAGGCACCCCCTACCTGCCCGGCAGCAGTAGGGACACAATTCACAATCCAACCTGTGCTGGGTCCTGCCTGCTGGGCTGCAGAGGCGACTCCTGCCTGGAGTTGATCCAGCCCTGTTGTAACCCCTGCTGTGGGGCGCAAAAAAATCTCACAACCCCAACCGCTGATGCTGTGACACCATTTGGGGTTGCAACCCACCGTTTGGGAACTGCTGCTCTACCATTTGTATGAAACTTAAAAGTTTCATGCTAGAAAGCACTAAAATTTCCATAAAACTAGTTGAGAAAAGTATTAGACCTTAAAATAAAATAAAAAACAAAACAAAACAAACAAACTGGAATTACCTTTCAGTTTTCTACATTGAATACTGAATCTAATTCCTGATGTGCAGAATGAGAAGTTGCTGGAAGCCAGGTAGAAGCCAAGAACAAGGGTTCCTTTGAATATTTTAAATAGTGGCAGTTCTAACAGATGGTTGCTAAGTTTTACACAGTCCATTCAGAGGACCAGTCTTGTCTTTGCTGCTGAAATATACACTGAATGCTCTCTTAAGAGCCAAGTTAGCAAGTTGTATGAAGATGAAAGTGGAAATGTGACCACTATTTTATGATCCATAAATACTATTAGCTCAATATAAAAACTACTAGAACAAGATAGGGGACACTCTTTTAATAAATTTTGGAATTAAAAAGTCACTTAATAAAATTGTTTATAGCTGTATCACATCAAAAAGTTTTTACATGCAGGTCATTTATTTCTCTATTTTTTTCATAGAAAATGAAAAGCTGTGTTAAAACCCACAAAATCTGTCTGTTATAGCCAGTTTGGGTATGTTTAAGGGGCTGCATGAAGTATACTTAAATCAAAAAACTTTAAGTATCAAAGAAATGAGTCAAAATCTTCTTCAACTAATAACAATTAAAATATATATATATTTATAATTCCAGGGCCTCGAAAGAAATCATGATAGTTTAAGAACAAAGTTTTGAGTCATTATGAAAAAGCCCAATGTCAGCATCTGCTATAAGATGCAACAGTGAAACTGGCATTAAAACCCAACATAAATGAGTTCCCTTACGAAATCTACATTAATGTTCTCCTGCAAAACTCAGAATGAAAGGCAGTTTATTTTCCTTCCAATTCCTATCTATACTAGCTTGTTTAAATCCTAGAAATACTACGCATGTGCCTAGTCAGCTTGAGTTCTACATCTGTAAACTTGGCACATAATTATGAAGCAGAAAATAGCATCATGTGTGCCACCTTACATTTTTCCACAGCACTTCAAGGCCATACTGAGCAGAACTAGAGGGTTTTTTTTGTTTAAAAACAAAACCAAAACCCTAATATGTAGCCATTAACCTCCCAAGTGCCACAGTAGCTGCAATGGACTTTGAAAAGAATACATTATCCCACGGATATCAAAGATTCTCCAACATCTTATTATCAAAAATAATAAATGCAATGCAGTTTAGTTAGAATGCCAGTTTCTTCACAAAACTGATATTTCAGATACAAATAGCAAGATAGTCTTAAATGAAAATTCAACTGCTTTGTCACCTCCCTCTTATTTACTTTATATGAAGAAAAAAGGCATTGTTACAATGGCTCAAAACTTCTTTTAGTTACATGTACAGTCAGTCAACAGGCTCAGTTCAATTTCTAGCTAGCGAAGGTCTTTCCCATATCTTCCTTCCCTTTATATTTCCTCTTGCCATGTGTGAAGGGTATATACCTGTACTTTATCATATGCTGCAAGGAAGAAAACACAAAACAAAACCATTGGTTTTAGAAGGTAAAAACTAAACTGCATGATAAAGTTGATTCTATAAAGACACCATAAAACCCAATTCAAGTCCAAGTTCTTTGCTACAGACAGTGCTTCTGTCATTTAAAGTAAGTAAAATACCTACTATTCATTTAACTTTGGTAGTATTACATTTTTAAGAAGTACAAATGGATTTGATCAGTTTTACTGCAATATATTAGTATATAGTGCTAAATACTTTAAAATGGGGTTGTTTGAGAGTTTCAATAACTAAGGTTTGGTTTTCTTAAAGCATATGTAATTTGATTTTCATGATAGTTTACACTGATGAAAATAAAGCAGACTAAAATCACTTGTAACCCCCCTGGGTGCATCTATATAAGACGCTTACTGCAGTTGCCTAATTAGCTCCATGATAGAGCATCTCAATCTACATGTGCAGAGCTATTAATTTCAGTGTAGGTTAGTACTGCTCAATACAAGTACTAAACTATAGCAGAGTTATTTACTCCACTGCAACATGTGCGAATGCTGACCAGGGCTGGCTGGGGCACAAGGATGACACAGGGCAGGGGACTGCCTGCTGGCCACCCCACACTAAGACCCATGTATCCTAGCCAGCCCCTCTGCAGGACGTTGAGTCAAGTTGGAGCAGTCCTGGGCTGGCAGGCTGAGCCTCCAGAGTCCCTTGCCAGCCATGGCTGCTCTGCCCTGGCTCAAAATACAGTGGTCCCGGGTGCACACAAAGATACTGCACCTGGAGGCAATACATTCCAGCACAATCTGCACCAGAGTTTATTTAGCCAACCTAATTTCATGTATAGATGTGCCCCTTGACCTTCATTTACAATCTTGATTCAATGTGTCGCATTCAAAATTTTGTAGTACATTTGTACATAAATTTGCTTTTCTTTTTATAAGGAAAAAGAATAGTAGAAATAATTTATCAAAACTATTTAAAATTACTTGGCTCTGTTCTTTTTATTAAATATAAAGCTTTTGACTGCTACTCTGATCAAGGTAAGATCCAAAAACCCAATCTGTTAATATATCCATGTATGCAGAGAGGTCACATATGCAGCTCAAATTCTTTCATAAAAATGGAGCTATTACATAAAAAGATTATGCTGATAAAAACTACAGCCTTGGAAGAATGAACATAAAGTTACAATTTTGAAACTTAAGGGTCTACAGTAATTTGATTTTCATGACTGTTGAAGAGACTTCCATTACCACCAGAAGATACAAGTATATCAATAAGTGGCTGAACTTAGGCATGCACATTACAATCAACACTACCAAGGTTTTCTAAGATACATGTCTAAACTACTCATCTGGCAGAATGACTCTTTTAAGACAATGGTATTGTCTTCCAAGAGTTTCAGCGCAAATTACCTTGATTTGTCTCTTCATAGTGATACAGAACAGCATAATGAAGTACATCACAAGGATTGGCCAAAATACTGGAACGTTGAAAGCTTCAAAGAATGTACAAGTCATTGCAACCAGGATACCTTTAGTAGCAGAGTGCCTTTAAAATAAAAAAAAAACAATTAATGCCTTTCACAATAGCAGGTTCTAATTAGATATAGTTGCTTAAATGCTTTAAACACAGCAGTGGCTTATGGATTTACTAACCAGAACTTAAACTCTGGCAGCCTCCTAATGAAGGGACGAAATTCCTCATTTTGTTTTGTGGGTAATGAAGGACCATCATCTGGAAAGTGCAACACAGATCTTTTAAGTCATTTCTTAATTCTCAGACTCAGTTTCTTTTCTTTCCTACTGCTAGTCTTAAGCACTGACTCAAGTTCCCCTTAGAAAAGTTAAAAAACAAACAAAAAAATCCCAACACCCCTACCATTTTCCCCTAATAGGAAACTAGTTATGTCTCCCTTCTTTGTGTCAGACCAAATAACCTGTTTATTTTGTGAGCTAAGCTACATAAGAGGCCAGCTCTTCAGAAATGTCCTACTTTGAGAAATAAGAGAAGATTTAATATCTAAAAACAGATCTCTCTCTCAAAGTCAAGATACAAAGGCAAACTAAAGCCAGACTCTGCATTTGCCTGAAAATTTCAGTGGGTTTATTATAGCTGCCACCATTGATTAACTGTCAGAGATATCCAACAGTTAGAGTGGGAATCTATTATTTCTTTATAATCTTAGCAGAATACAACATAATTGGTTTCAAGCCATAGGCCACGCTGATTGTTTGCAAAAGCTTTCACTGTCATGCAATTAAGATTCTGATTCTCAGTCAGCCTTGCAGTTTACCTGATATACTGGCTTTGTAACTTTAGCAAAGTGACATTTTTGCCTGTACCTGCAAGGGCAAAACAATTATTTCTAGGGGTGTGCAAAACAGGCCCTATTCGATTCGGATTTGGCCCGAATCAGGGACAGCGATTCGATTCGCTGGTTTGGATCATTGTCCCCGATTCAGTTCAGCCGAATCTGAAGATTCAATGCCGATTCAGAGAATCGGCGATTCGGCCATAGACGCAGCTTTAAACGTTTTTTCTACATACCTTGAGGTACCAGGCAGAGCTTGTGAATGCTGCGATGCTGGGGCAGATGGAGCATCCCACCGGAGTGCAGGGAGGTCCCCCGCGTGCTCAGTGGCAAACCTGGAAGTAGACTGGAAATACTTCTGGTCCACTTCTGAGTCCACCGGGGAGCACACAGGGGGGCAACCCCGCGTGTCCCCCCCAGCTCAGCAATTGGCCGCGGGGTGGCCCCAGGTACTCCCCCCAGGCCCAGGAGGCACCAGTCACCGAGCTGGGGGAGGGCCCCCAGTGCATTCTCCAATGGACCCAGAAGGGGACCAAAAGTGCTTCTGGTCCACTTCTGCATCTGCTGCCAAATGCGCTGGGGAGCTCCCCACACTTCTGTGGGACACTGCATGCGCCCCAGCACCAAAGCACTCACGAACAGCCTGCCACCTAGAGGTACATAGAAAAAACATTTAAAGCTGTGTCTACGTCCGAATCTCCAAATAGATTCGGAGGGTTCTGATTTGATTTGGAGAGATTAAAGGGTCTCCCGATTTGATTCAGAGATTTAGCCACTGAATCTCTGCCAAATCGAATCAAGGACTGAAGCTTTGCACAGTCCTAATTATTTCTAGAGAGTTAGCCTAACTTGATTACCCTGCAATGTCAACAGATATTGAGACACTGTTCAACACCTTTAAGATTGCCTGAAGAGTTAAGCTGTAACTATGCCACCAGCTCAAACCATTCTGTTTTACTCACTTCATAGTTTGTAGGGTCAGAAGGGACCTGAGCAGATCATCAAGTCTGACCCCCTGCCATGGCAGGAAGGAGTACTGGGGTCAAACAACCCCAGCAAGGTGTTCATCTAGCCTCCTGTTAAAGACCCCCAGGGTAGGAGCCAGCACCACTTCGCTTGGAAGTTGGTTCCAGATCCTAGCCGCCCTGACAGTGAAGTAGCACCTCCTGATGTCTAGTCTGAATCTACCCTCTGCCAGCTTGTGACCGTTATTTCTAGTCACTCCTGGTAGTGCTCAGGGGAACAGGGACTCCACCCAATGCCTGCTGGTCGCCTCCGACTAGTTTGTAACAGGCCACTAGATCCCCCCTCAGCCTTCTCTTGTGGAGGCTGAACAGGTTCAGGTCACATAGCCTCTTCTCGTAGGGCCTGCCCTGATGACCCCTGATCATGCGAGTGGCCCTCCTCTGGACCCTCTCCATGTCATCCACATCACTCCTGAAGTGCGGCGCCCGGAACCGGACGCAGTACTCCAACCGCGGCCTGACCAGCGTCGCATAGAGGGGGAGGATCACCTCCTTGGACCTGCTCAAAACGCATCTGTGGATTCATGACAAGGTATCCACAGATTGTGCTGATGAATGTGAACATTCAGTTGAGTTAAGCTAATGCAACTAAAAATTCTTCTATGCATGCAAATTAAGTCCGTCTTTATTTCTGCATTTTTGGGAGGATGATATCAAAGATCTAATTTACTATTTATAAAACACTTTTAGATCCCTAAATGGAAACTACTACAAAAACAGAGCTTTTTGCACTGCTGTTTTTAAAATTATCCTCATGACACTATTACTAGATATGGTTTTCACTTCTTTAAAAATGTTAAAATGTCAAGCGATTTGGAAATTCAGTTCAAAATTATGGCATGGAGTCATATGCACTATACCTGAGTCTTCCATTAGAGAAGGGTCTACCTTTGGGGACAAAAAAGCTATGAAGAGATTTAGGTGGTAGATTCCCAAGGCATATGTCACGATATACCAACCCTTGGAAAGAGAGAAAAATAAATCAGGCTGAAAATATCAAGACAGCTTAACATATTTATTTGGTCAAGAACAAAACAAGTTTTTTAAAGCATCTCAGTTACTTCCCTAAAAGAACCGTTTCCTTTTTAGGTGAAAAAATTCTGGACAAAATTCTAGAACACACTCATTTTTTTGAGCTGTCACCACAGGGCAATCAAAGGGAAAGAAAGTCATTATCCATCTACGATGAAAGGAAAGTACTCACGGACAATTCACATAGATTCAAGTGCTCCATCATATATACTGCTGTTACTTAATTTCACAGCCTGCTGCAATTTCTTTTAACTTTATCATCAAGTTTAAAGGTTTTAATCCTGGAAAAGTTCAACACTCAAATAGGGACACTACTAAAGTAATGAAAGCCATAGTAGACCTTGAACATCACAGACAGAATTGCACTCGTTTAGAACAGCTTCAAGGAATATTAGTACTCCTGTTCTTAACTGAATTTTGAATGGACGTGAAAAAGATAATTGATTAGTAAGGATGAAGTCTGTTGCATGCTTATAGTGATAAGAGTGCCAATCCAGAAATTCTTTGCAAGTTTCCTGGTAAAAGAGAATTGTTGGAACCTAAACAAGTTAAGCAGCTTTAAATTGGAAGATAAAACACCAATTAGAGAAGTTTTCTAAAATGTATTGTGCTATTTCATTGGAATGCTTCAATGGACCTCTCCTCACCACCACCCATCACGTAACAGCTAGCTTTAATCACAGCCACATTTCAACCTGAAGGCTCTAACAAGGACAAAGCAACTCAAACATTTTTCCTAACTACTGAAGAAAACAATTATGTATTTACATGGTATACAAAACATAAAATCCTACGGATTTTGAAAAAAATGACAATCTACAAAAAGAAAAAAGCAATTGACTACTATTTCTTTTTCAAACTGCAAAAGGTAGCTGCATTAGGAATGCCTATTCTATCAAACTTGTTTCACAGTTTTCTTATTTAGTTCCATATCTTCTTATAGATTTAAACTTTTGAAACACTCTTGTTTGGCACACGATTTACTTTTTCATATGTGCTTCAGTGAAATGGATTATTCATTCTAATAACTTGCATTTGAAGAATTACAAACAGCCTATTTGTTATATTAAACTTAATAGAGTTATGTTAAAAAAGCTAGCAACAGGTTCAGCTTATTTACCTGTAGTATATAAACTCTAATCATGTAGATAAAGCTTAACCCCAAAGTTACAATCCATCGCACTGCTGTGTAGGGAGTAGATTTGTCTAACCAGGATTGGTAGATCTAGACAGAAATTAACACAACATTGTTTATTACAGAATACTGTTATATACTGTAAGTATAGATGCACAAGATATTTTGGGATGAAAGATCACTTAAATATTAATAATATTTTCCAAGTCTAGTTTACTTTGCACTATATATGCTGTTTACATTTTTCTATTTTAATCAGACACACCTTATTAGTAGGTTCTCTTTTCATTTCTAGGTTACTCATATTCTGGTTTTTAAATACTAAACACACTCACTGAAAACACTTAAGACTGAAAACATCATGAAAGTTTTACATCATAACTAGATAAATGTTAGTTTCATAAACACAGTGGGTATATGTCTACCCATCATCCCATGGCAATATAGCGATGTGCTACATCACTGTACAGTGCAGTATGGAGACATAGCAACCATGCAGGTCTACATGCGATTGCCAGCTATGCTGCCATAATGGCGATGTAGCAGGGAAATCTAAGTGTGCATTGCCCACTCGTTACAGTAATTGCCCATACTGCACCATGCTTTAGTACTTCCAAAAGAAAGTACTAAAGCACAGGCCAGTAGCAACATCGCAGTACAGTGACGTATAGCCCTATTTCTACTAATTTATATTTAAAGCTTCTTTTGATAAAAACTAGCACAATGAGGGTGTTCAAGTTGAAAAAAATTCAGTAATGTGCTGTTACATATACATAAATATTAATATAACTAGCCAATTGCCTCCTTAAATTGAAACAAAAGGTCATAAGCTAAAGAAAAATGGCACTGAGTCCTATTATCAATAAATTGCTACAAGACCCTTTAAAACTAACCTGTCCAAGCCTTGTGAAAAATCTATAGACCACTGAAGGTTTGCCATGAACCGACTCACCAATGCTGTCCCCTTCTGACATTGTTGCTGTGGAAACAAAACATTTATACAAATGACATTAAAATAAAATTTAATTTACTGAAGCTTACGTATAGCTCATGCCATTTTGATAGTGTTTGAAATAAGATAGCAGGTAACAGGAAATACCATGTTAAAAAAATAGATAAAAGTCCTCTGTCTCCAGGGATAATTACTAAGCAAAAGAAAGAGGAAGAATAAGATCCAAAACACACAAGAAAGAAAAAAAAAAAAAAAAATCACAGATAGGAATGGGGGCAAGAGTCCTTGGCTACTCTTCCTTTGATATGCTAGGAGCATCTCTATGTACCGAGATGACATACTAGAGCGCTACATTCCTACCACGTTTAGACTGAAACTCAAATGGCAAAACCAAAAGGAATCTATTTAAGGCTCCCAAATAGCATTTAACTATATATTCAGTAGGACTATCAAACGATTAAAAAATTTGATCACGATTAGAAAAAAATTAGTCGCAATTTTAATCTCACAGCTAAAAACTCAAAATTATACAAAATTATGCATATATTTTGTATGGTTCGGGGTAGGTGTGAGGTATGTGTGGGGTGGCGAAATTTGTGAAGGTGTGGGCAGCTGTGGGGGTGTGTGGGGTTTGGAGTCTGGGGAGGGGAGATCCCCACAGGGGGGTCTGGAGCCTGGGGAGGAGGTACCCCCCACACCCTGGCAGGATGTGGGGTACTGTGGGTCAGGAATGAGAGGCGGGGGGCTGTGGTTTCAGAATGAGGGGCAGGGCAGGGCACAGACATATCATTGCCCCTCCTCCCCAATCATATTAGGTATCCTCTTTTTTGAAACTGGAAATATGGTAACACTACAGGAATGCAGCCTGGCAGTGTCTACAGGGACAAGTCTGTAGGGAGGGAAGGGACAACAGATGGAGGCCCCCCTGGTGAGGGAGGGAGTGGGGCAGGGGAAAATGGGACCCTGGGGCAAGGGCGGGTCATGGGACAGAGCTGCAGGCGGCTCATCCAGGGGCGTGGAGAGGCAGTTCCTCACCATTGCACACAAGCCCAGGGGAGGCATGAGGGATGTGTGCCCCCTGGATTTGTGTGTGGGGAGGATGCAGGCTGCCCGTTGTGAGCTGGGTCTCTGTGCCCTGCTGCCTTTGCCCCAGAAGCTATGTGCTGGCCGCGTGTCCCCTGCCTGCCCGGCGGCGGGAGGCACAACATGGCATCATGTGGTGACAGCGGAGAGGACGGCTCCAAAACCACGTGCACAATTAATACATCAAAAAAATAAATACATTAATTGGTTCTTGCATTAAATCGTGCACATTAACACAGATTAATTGACAGCCCTAATATTTAGACAACTTGGCTGCTGGGCTCATTCCAGAGCTTGCATCATTAGCATCTACAAGTTACTTATATGTTGTCTGAAGCATCTGATACAATCAACTGTTTCAGTAGCAACAGGAACACCTTAGCAATAGTGGAAAAATGCTCAGCTTCTTTCTCTCTATGCAAAGTCAGGCTTAGAGCGGGAGAGTACCTAGAACGCAGTTAAAAATATACTGGTAATAAATTCAATTCCTTTTAAACAAACCTCTGCTATTGATTTCAAAGATTTTTTTTAATTAAGAAAACTTAAGGTTTGTAGTTCACCTTAAGATACAAAACAAACAAAATAAAATGGAATCTATGCACCACAAATTGTGCCACATCACCAAAGGCAATACCTGACATTACTTCCTGGATTCTCATCTGGGGGCGGGACTATATTATTTTATGTGATAAATGCAAGCAATGTCAGCCCTTAATGTTAATGCAACATTAAGAAAAGTGCTCTAAAAGCCCCATATAAAAAACAACACAGATTTGTAAAGCATTAGAAAAGTGAAACAGAAAACATCAAAAAGACTGAACTATGTATTAGATGCTGCATTATGACGACAAATACACACACAAAAAAATCAATCCTAAATAGAAGAGACATGCATAGAATTTTAAAGTTCCATATTTCCATGAAGCTGGTAAGTCTGCAAGCTATGCACCATCCCTAGCGACATGGGAAGAAAGGGGGAAGAGTTCCCATTACACTACCAGAGGAAATGGCAGAATTGATATTGGGACTCTACAGCTTCAGCCCCACCTTAACCAAGGTATCCCAAAGACGCCCAGAATGTCAGCTACTACAGAAGTGCACTTTGACACCAAGTGGCCAAAATGAGAAACACTATTCTGTCCCAGTAGTCCCACAGGGCAGGGGAGAAAAAGTCTACGGGTAACTGAAAGTCCTACTATGCTTCTGTTCATAAAGAACTTCCTCTTTCTATTACTATTATTTCTACTTTGGGATGTCCAAATCTTATTTTAAACCAGTAACAAAATGGCTACAAATAGCAAAGTGTTTCACCATAAGTCAACATTTTCCTGTCTATAAAATACAATCTATAAATAGTTCTGAACACATATTAACATAGCTGTTTTTCAGTAGCATAACTTAAAAATCTAAATAAGTATATGATCATGTTTTATCCCATTATGAAATTTGGCAATGCATTTAAATAGCATCAATTACGAGTACGAACATAATCCTTGATAACAACCTGTAATTCAAGTGGATGCACTTTGCAACTCAAAAGCACCATTTCTAAAGAACATGTCATTAGAATACAATCACTCAAGAAGGGCATCTTTTGATACTTGCTTTAAAGAGAGTTAAAGATCACAAATCTCAACCTGAACCTGTTTGTGAATTGGAAAAGAGATTTTTGACAGCTGGGTTTTTTTCATAATAAAAGTGTAAACTTTATCCATTTGTTATAATGGTGTCTGATCAAACCTGAGACTTTAAGTCAATAGTCAAGGAAGCAGATTTAAATTGCGTGTTAGTCTAATAATATCAAAAGCCAATGTTTGGAAGTTTACCAAGAGTGCTACTAAAGTGATATTTGGTTTTATACAATGTATTTTCCACTTTAAAGATACACTTTGCTTAAAAACACATTACTTAGGGCAAACTATACTTTCTACTTCAACAGACAAATGCTGGCCATGCCTGGACTCTAGGAAATCAGGGTCTCTGGGTGGGAGTGGGTGTCCGTGCATATGTCCATCCAGGTGAGGATACAATTAAAGAGGGGATTTATTCCACGTGCATTTGGAACAAGCAAGATGATCAAGAAATTCAGAACGCGGGGGGGCAGAATTTGAAGACAAAAGACAACAAAACCAACAGATGCAAAGTAAGACAGGGCTGCAGTCATTCACGAACCGGTCCCCTCCCAACGAACAGTGGTCCAAGCGATCAGGCCGTGGAGCCGCTACAGCCAACAGGCCAGTCCTGCAGATCCCCTGCAATCTTTAAGGGCTTCATCCCCACGGTGGTTCTTGCTCCCCCCAGAGTGGCCTTTCTTTTCCAAGGACTGTTGCTCCCACCCCTGCACTAGCTGCCTGTCAGCTGCCCACGGCCCCGCACCTCCCCGGCCAGGGGAACCGCAGCGCCTGCCGGAGACCAGGTGCAGGCCAGCGCTGGGAACGCAAACACACGAGCTCCCGGGGGCGAAGGCGCGTCGGGGATGGGACGAGTAAGGAAAGGGCCGCTCAGCCCGGCGGTGACCTGGGCAGCGTGGGACGGCAGTGGGGGTGAGAACAAGGGAAGAGGAAGCCACATTTCCGCGGGCCAGGGGCGGACAGGCCCCACCGGTCCCCCGCCCGGGCACTGCCCCCTGCCCAGCCCAGTCCAGTCACGTCACGCACCAGCACCGACGGGCCCAGGCCGAGCCCCACGCGAGCTCCCGGGGGGGTGGGGCGGGAGACAACAGGCCCCGGCCCC